AAGACCAAAGCCACAATATCTTTACAAAACTTTGACCATATGTTTCTGGAGTTTTGGTGTCACTGAGAGCTTGATTGATTCAAATTTACTGACACTTATTTTTGTTTAGACCTATCTACATTTTTACCTAAGAAACTTAAACACCTGGGGATTTTTGCCAAGAACTCAGGAGATTTGGCTGTTTTTATTAAACCAACAATGTTAAATTAGTCTTATTCAAAATTGCACAAACACAGATCTTTTTGGGGGGGCTGGGTTTTCAGTTTTATAATCTTTGTGTCAAACTTGGGCACCTTCAAATATGAAAATGACCAGTAGGCTGGAGGAGGTGGCTTGTGCCTATAATGCTAGCATTCTGGGAGGCCAAGGTGGTGGATTGCCTGAGCTCACAGATTCAAGACCAGCCTGAGCCAGAGCAAGACCTTGTCTCTAAAAATAGCTAGGTATTGTGGTGGGTGCCTGTAGTCTCAGCTACTTGTGAGGCTGAGGCAAGAGGATCTCTTGAGCCTAAAAGTTTGAGGTTGCTGGGAGCTGTGACACCACGGCATTCTACTAGAGGCAACAAGGTGAGACACTGTCTCAAAAAAAAAAAAAAAAAAGAAAATGACCAGTAAACCCAAGTGAAAATGTATACTGAAAATTCTGAGGACATTTTTGTTGGTATTTTATCAAACTTTTAAAAAAAAAACAGCTTGTTTGCCCAAAAATTACTAAATTCACATGAACTTGAAAAACATTTGGGTTTATTTAATTTACGAGAGCTCCTTTTAGTACAAGCCACTTTTGGTACCATGTAGATACAGGCACACACACAAAATACATCTAAACACATATCTGAGGGCTCTGCCCACGAGACCCTCCCAAGTTTCACCCAAGTCTGTATACATCGTGCTCCCTTTCCTCCTTCCCCCTCCAACAGCAAGCATCCCTGCAGCTTGGCCAGGGTGCCTCCATGGATGGAGATGTCTTCCAGTCTCCTAGACCTCAGGACGGAGGGGTCTTTTTACTTTTTAGACCTTAGAACCTGCCTCAAGAGAAACTTCTATCGGCAGTGCCTTCCAATCCCCCACCTCAGGCTGCACAGATAATGCAGCGAATTTAAAGTCGGCACAAAGAAGACAGAGACAAAGAGCTCAACGGGCTCCACATTCACACACCACACGCGGGTACAGATAAACAGTCAGTGTAAAGAGAAATCCAGGAAGTTTCAGGCACACGAACTGCAGTTTCGCCGAATAAGCCCCCTGTGTGCCAAATCAAAAAAGGTTAGCCCCCACTCTCACAAATGGTTGGGGTTTATCCAACCCAAAACAAATGCGAATTCCCTCCGAATTCCTCAAATTAAGAGGGGCATCCTCCACTGTGTGGTATTTTCAAATAGCACTCGCCCACCTGGACATGAATTTCAAAGTCCAGAAATCCCTTCTCGAGAGGCAGTCAGCAGCGTGATGGAGGCTGGTAGGAGCAGAACTGGCCAACACGGCCAGGCAGCTGCTTAGGCTGTTGGTCTCTTCCTGCTCTGCAGCCCCTGAGGCACGAGCAGCACCATCCCAGGTGAGCCCCCATAATTGTTGTCGAAACCACAAGGTGATTTCAACCTAGGTCCAGTTGCCTGTCACACGGAGATCCAATTACTGAGTCAGCGATGATTGCCAAGGAGGAAAGGGATTTTTTTCATACATCTTGTTGGAAGAACCTGCCTCAGATCCACCTCCTAGACTAATGGCGATTATGGGGTTTTAAAGGCAGGCCACGCACCTCGGGGCAGGTCCTGGTGTACCTTAGGAAGGGCTAGTGTGTTGGGACAGGATGTGAAGATGGCACATCTGGGCATCAGGACGTCTGCCCAGGGACCTTCAGAATCCCAGCTCCTTTGTCTTGCAGAAAATCCACCACTTCTGAGAAACAACTCAAAGGGTCAGGTAGCAAGAGACAGGATTGTATGGGTCACTGAAATTTGTTCAATGGGGCGCTGGTCACAAGGGGACTGCGTAGATGGTGGAAAGGTCAGGTGCAGGTCAGGTCTCCTGACTGTATCTTCGGCTCGATTCACCACTCTAGGCTTCCACCGTTCCAGATGTATTTATGGGTTGATTGAAAGAGTTTCAAAAAAAGCAGATCATATTCTCCTTATCATGGGGCAGTGCAGCTACAGACCAAGCTGTATCTGTTTGGGAAGGAGAGAAAATAGCAGCTGGCATCCAGAACAGCTTCTCCAGATGAGTGGTACTGGAGAATGTGTGGGACTGGACAGGGCCAGCCACAGTAAAAAAAAAAAAAAAAAAGCAGATCATGACTCCATCTGAGAAATTTTAAAGCATGAAATTATCATTGAGTCATAACATGTTCCGAGGAGTTTTCATAACCTCATGCTGATTTAATCTGGGAAGAAGTGTTAAATGCTGTCTTTGGTTGCTCTGAATTACGCTGCCCAGGCTTGGCCCTCATGTGGACAGAGTGCGGGTCTGCTTGTTTCTGTCATTGGCGGCAAGAGTAGCGGTGGTCTCCTCCTAAAACCCGGACAGGGAGTCCTTATGAAAGGTATGGAGGAATAATTGCTTATGAAGCAGCTGATTCTGCAGAAGGGGTGCTGGAGAGCCAGCCCAAACCTGAATTCAAAGAAAACATCCTCAAATGCAGCAAGCACTGGTGGGTTAGGCCCACGGTGTTTTCATCCTCCTATCCCATAATCACAGATAAGCCCTAGGGACCCTCAAGTGTGTGCCCACATCTCTATGTGCCAAATGAGTCCTGCTTCACCCTCGTGAGTAATCAGTTGGCATTCAATGAGGTGATTAGATGATTATATTAGATGATCAGCACTGGCTGCTTGGACTAATTTATCTGCTTCCCGCATAGGTTCTGAACAGGGCTGGAAGAGAGTACTTGTAATGCCTTGGTGCTGTCAGCTCCCTCTCATCCTCTCCTGAACTGTTCTGCCTATTCCATGGTGGTGTATGTCTCTACTTATCAATGCTCGCCTTTGTCTGCTGAGCTCAGTTGACTATAGAAAGGTCACAGACATGGATCCATATCCACAAGCATAATGGGCTGGCAGGCATGAGAGAGCAGATTAGCTGACAGGTGTCACCACCAGAAAAAAAAAAAATAATTCGGGACGTAAAATACATTTATGAGATGGAGGCCGTCTTGTGTATCGCCTCTGGATTTGCTCTCCTGCTCGGCCATCTAGTGGTCAGACCTCGTCCTGTTTATGAGGACTGAAGTACCTGCAGGATCTGGACTCTGCCACTGCACACATCACTCTAAACCTGGCCCTGGACTCTGCTTGCCTTCAAATGCTAGTGGAGAAAACTCCTGCTGAGAGGCTAAGATTGCCTTTAGGAGTTTTGTGTTCATTTTAGCACATGAGATATTTGGGTTTCTGATTTGAGGGAAGCAAACGTTTTTCTGTCTTTCTAGAGACATGTTGTACATTTTTGGCTCTGAATGGTAGTGACTGATGATCACAATTCTGTTATGAAATTCTTCAATGCTCTGTGTGTATTTCCCTTGTCCTAGTCACTAAGCGTTGGTGATGTAACGTCATTGACATGCTAATGGGAAATGATAGTTTCCAACCAGATGAAGGGGAGAAAATTGGTTGATGTCTTCTGGTGATTACTAGCACTCCATAGAGAAAGATAGGATATTTTAAAAGAACATATAGATTGGCATATACTTGTGGCTTTAACACATACACAAGCATTAACTGTAAAGTCCACTGGAGGCTGGGTGTGGTGGTTCATAGCTGTAATCCTAGCACTCTGGGTGGCTGAGGTGGGTGGATTGCCTGAGCTTAGGACTTGGAGAACAGCCTGAGCAAAGCAAGATATCATCTCTACAAAATAAAAAAACTAACTGTGTGTTGTGGCAGGCGTCTGTAGTCCTAGGTACTCAGAAGGCTGAGACAAGAGGATTGTTTGAGCCCAAGAGTTTGAGGTTGCTGTGAGCTGTGATGCCACAGGACTCTAACCATGGTGACTGAGTTACATAATAAATAAATTAATAGATAGATAAATAAAGCCCACTTGAGTTTATATGTAGCTTACAAGAACCTAATGGAAAACTTATTTCAGTAAATACTGTGATTTGTAGAAGAGAACTTGCCACAGTTTTAATTTCTTCTTAAACTTCCATAACCAATTCATTGATGACTTTTGTGGTGCATTACTTTAAGGGTATGAACAACTTATAATATTGTACGTTTGCCCTTTTACATCCTAAAAGGATACTCATAGTTCTGCCTTTCTGAAGTTCTATGAGGTTGAGTGCAGTTTTTCCAGAAAACCAAGATTAAAACACATTCTCCAATTTTCCCTTGGGGCCATTAGCATATTACGGGCACTTCATGCCGCCATACGTGCGATGAGGGTAACAGAAGATCTAGTCCTACCCAAGGGACCAGTGTCACACCAGCTGGCCAAGAAGAGGTCCTTTCCCCAGTTTTGCAAGAGATCCACTTAGATTTAGGTCCCCAAATCTCTATCGAAGCACACTAACCCCATATCCCAGACTCCAGGCCCTCCCAAGAACTTCTCGGGGGCCCCTGCTCTGTTGGCTGCTGGCGAGCGTGGTGAACACACACAACCCTTGACCTCAGGCTGATCTTCCTCCTCCACAAACACACAGTGTGCGGTTTTCTGCAGTGTGTCACTCATGCCATTGCTTCCACCACTAATGTGATAAATGGGTCATTGTGATGGCAATTCTGCTTCCCTCTGAGTACTCAGAAAATACTGAGTACTTGGAATGTTCTGGCACAAGCACATGCTAACAGGTCTAGGAGGCACGTGCGTGAGACGCGTGGGCTACCACATGCTCCAGAGGGAAGTGCTGCCAACCACGTAACCTCCATGGGGGAGCTGGAAGGTCAGGGGTTTGAGGCAGAAAATTGCACTGTGAGGACCCCTGCAAGGCACCCCTACCTGTCTCCTGAGAGCTGAATACAGTGCTCTTTACAGCCACTGTCTGAAGCTTCCTTTCTGCTTGTTTTTCAGAAATGTGAAAATAAAAACTGGACAATGGTTCTTTGAGGAACGAGCAAAGAAATTTCCAAATGAAGGTAAAGTAAAGTTTTTAGTTTTAAAATATTTGATGTTCAGGCTTTTGAATATAAAAAGTTTATGGAGGTGGGGCACAGTGGCTCAGGCCTGCAATCCTAGCACTCTGGGAGGCCGAGAGGTGCATCGCTTGAGCCCAGGAGTTGACCTGAACAAGAACAAGACCCTGTCTCTAGGAAAAACAGAAAAGTTAGCCAGGTGTTGTGGAGGGCACTGTAGTCCTAGCTACTGGGGAGATAGGAGGATCACTTGACCCCAGGAGTTTGAAGTTGCTGTGAGCTAGGGTGAGGCCATGGTACTCTAGCCAGGGTGACCAGGTGAGACTATCTCAAAAAACAAAGGCTGGACTCAGTAGCTCACGCCTGTAATCCTAACCCTCTGGGAGGCTGAGGTGGGTGGATTGCCTGAGCTTGTGGGTTCAAGACCAGTCTGAGCAAGAGTGAGACCCTGTCTCTAAAAAATAGCTGGGCATTGTGGTGGGTACCTGTAGTTCCAGCTACTTGGGAGGCTGAGGGAAGAGAATTGCTTGAGCCCAAGAGTTTGCAACTCTGGGCTCAAAAAACAAAAACTGAAAAAAGTGAAACTCTATCTCAAAAAACAAAACCAAAAAAAAAATAGTAGCCATACAGGCTTAGTCTGTAGGCCCTCTGGCTGGCTGGGCATAGTCTGTCGACCCCTCTAGCTGGCTGGGCATAGTCTGTAGACCCCTCTGGCTGGCTGGGCATAGTCTATAGACCCCTCTGGCTGGCTGGGCATAGTCTGTAGACCCCTCTGCTGGCTGGGCGTAGTCTGTAG